CACAGTTTTCATAAACAAAATAAAATCCATTTTTCACAAGTTTGAAAATTTGGTCTTTTTGTGGCCATCGTTTTACTAATCTTGTTTCTATGAAATTTTGTGGCTTACATTAAAATTATAGAAAACAGAATGATATTGTTGTCTGTAGATCTTTTTTTACATTGTTGCTTCAGGTAAAAAACTGTCGGTGTTTATAGTAATAAAAAAACAAAACACTACACGCTTCAGCTGCTCATATTGTCTATATGTTTCATCGTTTTGTTATAGGTATTTCTTTTTTTTAATAATAATTGTATTATAAATTGATAAAATTATATTACACAAAAAATTGTTTATTTTAAATATATTTTTTTATTTAAGAAAAATATTTTCTCTTTTCTTATATATATAACTCGTGATTTGTTTGTTGAAATGTTTAGTTGCACAATGTACGTCATACAAAATAAATTACAACTCACGGAACATTATCTATCAAAATCTTTTTTTGAGAAAGAGAAAGAGAAAGAGAAAGAGAAAGAGAAAGAGCACATTGAATACACAGTTTTCGATAAGTATGAAACGAAGCGAGATTGCGCGCAGCCCAACACTATTTCCCGTAAGAGAAATTACTTCCGTTCGTATCCGGTACAAGCCGCGGTTACCCTCGTTACATGGTTCTCTCGTGATCACGTCGTCAGTCTATATTCCATAACTCCCGACCAAGTAACACAAATATTGGTGCGATAGTCAGCAGCAGGCTTCAAAAATATAAAGCCAATATTGCGATAAAATATCTATATATTTCTGAGCATCATATTATCACTGTTTCTTCTACTTTTTTAGGATAAATTTACGGCAAGTAGTTAAAAACATGTAGGATAATATTCCGGCATATGAACCGCATTTATTGAAAACTTAATTTATTAAGTAGTATTTACAATGTCAAAGACAAAAGATCTATACCAATAAAAACTATACTGTCTTATTTAAACACTTTAAAGTGGCAATAGATGAAAAGTTAAAAAAGTTACGTGAAAAGAGAAAGAGAGAGAGAGAGAGAGAGAGAGAGAGAGAGGGGAAAAGGCGTATATAACCGTGTTTACTTCGGCGCACACTTCATTTCGGTATCGGGAGATACCTCGCGCTGCGACTCCGCCGTGTAATCTCGTTTTTAATTTTTCAATCACTTTGATCGTTCTCATCGTATATTCCTGGCCGTTATATAACCCGTATTTATTGGCTCTCTTCTATCGGTGTGGCAACCTATAACTTGCAGTTATCGAGCGGCAAGCGCGCGCGAGCTCTTTCGCGCGAGTCTCGAGACCCGAAGTCTCCTAGTTTTTGTTTGGCATACCACACCGAAAGCTCTGGGGGTATCGGCTAATTTAAAAGTTCCCAGGAACTCATCTACCGCTTAGTAGCTTCGGCAAAAGCTCGTTGCACCGTGTATACGATCCTCGTGTCCACCGCTTCTCTCTACTACTGACGCTTTTCTCGCCTTTCTCGAAGCGCGGTGTACGCTATGTCATCATACCTTTCGCTTGTTTTTTAGTTCTAAATGGTAGTTGCGATCTCTTTTATTACGTGTAAAAGAATCTTACGGAAAAAGTAATTAATTATTGGATCTGAAAAAAAACTATATATATACAGTTACTAAAAACATTATTTGTTTGCAAGTATCGAAAAACTGATTTAACCAACATCTACTGTCTTTTAATTTAAAAGAAAGCATAGATGCCTTTTCTATTAATGGCTTGTCTTATCGATTTTGTTAACTTTTTTATACTTATCAATGCGAACAAGTTTTTCTTGTACACAAAATAATTAAAGAAGTTCTCGTGAATAAAGTAAAATTATACAAATAATTTTGTTTTTGCTGCAGGCAAGCCACAACCGATGGTCATATGGCTTATTAATGGTCGAATAAAAGATGAGGAATACGAACATAATGCCGGAGATGTGATCGAAAACAGGTAAGTAGTTTAGTAATACAGGTAGTTTAGTTGATAATATATTCTTGCCAGATATATCTGCTAACATAATCTATATCTCTTTTTGTAACCTAAATTTTTGTGTGTGTTTATTTAGTCTTCTTAAATTTTACACGTGTCCTTTCTTGTTTCAAACATTGATAGATTAACGCTACAGCCTATCAGCCGGTCTGATCTTGGCTCGAACTTTACCTGTCAAGCACGCAACACGGATTTGGTGGATCCGAAGGAAACTTCGATCTTTCTGGATCTCAACTGTAAGTGAATTTGAATTCTTGTGTTTTATTTAAATAAGAATATTTTGCATCAAATAAAACATTCTTACGAATTCTTACAAATTTTGTGCTTTTTATAAAGATCGAATACTTTTATTAAAAGAATGAGAAACTAATGAAAGCAAAGTAGGGAAAATAAATTCTTATCACGTAGCCAACAAATCAGAGGCCTCGCCCCCGAGCCTATCCTGTCTTGCATTAACGATAAAATCTACGAGACACCAAAAGTGGGCCAACATCCTTTGCTCCCTCACCGCTAGGCGAGCCACCTTCAAGGAAAGATAAGGCGGGAGATAAGACGGAAAATATATTAAATCTACTCTCCGGGCCTTGCCTCGTTCATTCCTTCTTGAGAAAGAGCGCGAAAAGCGGAGACTATCTTCTAGGTTTCTTGAAATTAGAATTCTTTGTTAAGTCGCTATAGTGAACATTGGGGTGTTAGAATGCGGATAAGCTCGAGTTGTTCCTAATTTTTGCATTAAACTAAGAAATTGGCAAGTAGGATCTTATCTTTTCGGCAGATCCGAGACATGGATTCTGGAATTCTGGTCAACCAACTCGCCACCGTTTCTACGCACGCATTTTTTTTCCTCGATTGCTGCAGCACACACAAATCAACTTGCTAGTTTTTGATTCAATTACGCTGTTATCCATTATGCTCTTATCAGGATTTTTTAATCAGTGTTACCGCTTTTCGTGTGCGTATATTATCAAAACAGAAAAATGTTGCTTTTGCGCGTTGCGAGAACGAACGTCGAGGCAACCGGTGATTGATACGTGTCCAATAATCAGGTCTCCCGAAAATCGTGGATTTTCACCGGAGCTACTAACGAAATTGGAGGCCGGTTATCGATGAGCGAAGGCAGCCCCATCACATAGCGGCAAATAAAAAAGTTGCAGATTGAAGAGAGAAAAGCGTGATGAAGCGCGCTCTTGCCTGATCCTACGACAGACGCTGATGCTCTTTGATTTTTGTTACTTCGCCAAAGTGCCCGCGCGCATTCGATGTGTATTTATTTCATCGTCCTATTTTATTTTCGCAAAATAAAAGCTAAAAATAGAGTTTTAAACAAACAGACCATTCCGATCTCAGCGCTTCGGGGCAACACATCAATCGAGAAAATTGTTGTATCGACGGCGCATCACCGGCTATCAGCACATCTTATTAATTTTAAAACTAATCAAACTTCTAAGGAAATATTATCAGACAAGTAGGATGTTGACCCAACACAGTATCATTTGCAATTTGTTTTGTCTTGTTACATTGACAATTTATAAACGCGTAGTTATAAATGTGCAGTTTTTTAATTTACTTATATTTTATATTTTATATGTATAATTACCAATTGACATCTATGTATATAATTTAAAAATAAATGTTAATAAAAACATTTATACATTTTTATCAAATATATATTTAAAAAATAGAATATATACAACTTGTTCTAGTAGGAAAGATTATTTAATTACGTAAATGGAGCGATAAATATTTAGTGTTTATGTCGGAATAAATAATGAAATAACGAGGAGCCAACGTACATATATAATAAAAAATAAATAGAGATTTCTGTTATCGGAGTAAGTGCACAAACAGCGTATGGAAAGCTCTATTCACAGTTTTCATATTTCATAGACGAACGAATCGTATCTAGTCGACACCAGCGAATTGGAAACGTAGATTTATTGGCCGTCAGAACGCGATCACTCGCCACGAGTAAAATTTAGGATAGCTCAATTTTCAACGTACACGCGTGCTCCGTGCAAATACAGACTTCTCTTGTGATAAAGAGCACATTATTAATAATACGTTGAAAAAGAATAAATGCGAAAAATAGGTAAATACACACACACTTGCGAGGAACGACGATGCCACGTATGTAATATTTATGCGACTAAATATTCATACTTTGCGTAAAAATATTTGAAAACTAAATGTTTATTGAATGCGTCGCATGTACATCCACGCAACGTCGAAAATATTTGTTTAACTTGCGCGATTGTTTCCGTACGCGATGCACACGACCGTGTATCGATACAACGCGAAATGCCGCGAAGCCTCACCCAGATATGAAGGGCGGGTTGCAGGTCGGCAATTTATCATTTTATAACGTGAGATCCATTTTAGCGATTTGACACGGCCTCGCGTATTCCATTTTTTATCGGTCATTTTTAATTTTTCAATGCAAAATTTTAACTCAAAATTTAAAAACTCGAATTCTTTGCGTTCGTATTATTAGAAATTTTTTATTAATAATTTTTCGTTAAATTTTTAGATTAGTGTTTTAAATTTAATTAAAACACATTTTCTTGAAAACGTTTACTTCGAAAATGTTAAAAAAAGTAATTGAAGTTATATTAAAATTAATTTCTTGTTAACTCGTTTGACACGCAAAATAGAAAAAAAATTTATATGTATTTATATGTATTTATTAATATTTTATATAATCTGATCAATATACAAATTAATTAATCAAATACACATATTGCACGCTAAGTTATTGAATTTTAAAGTTTCTTTGAGTTATATAGTACAATTAATTTTGTGTTACGCTATAAATTTTATAATTGACTATAGATCATAAACACAGCTGATTTTTCATCTATATATAATTTTATGGAATATTTTTTATTTATAATATAGATGTATTGTAAGACATCTTTATAGAAACGGTGGTGTATATATATATATATATGTATATATATACAATATTTTTTAGTGAAACCTTTGAGCGTGGTCATAAGAAGGCCAAATAGGATGGGATTCAGTACCGAGTCCCCGTTGCTGGCGGGGAAGCGATACGACGTGGAATGCGAGACTACTGGTTCAAGGCCACCCGCGGTGATAACGTGGTACAAGGGCCGAAGAAGACAGCTGAAGCACACGAAGGTGAGAAAAATAAGAAGTAACAGCAGTTTGCGCGGATCTTCGACCGAGAAGTAGCTATCTTATCTTCCCCCCTTCTTTATAGCAGTTTACCTTGGGATCTCATGCCTTTTGTTCCCGGGAACACAAAAGCCGCTTTCTCCCGCTTTCTTTCGCAACTTGTCGCCTTTATTTTTGTCTCAGCACTTACTGGTAAAATTATAGTCAGGGCGTGAAGAACCAAACTTATACTCGCGTGTGGTAATCTCGAACAAGCGCGAACTTTCTCCTCGATACGTGCTTCGATTAATCACGATCCCATTTGCTAATATGCTCTTTTAACGCGATTCGATTTGTACGTAATTCCCGTAGCACACAATAGCACATGTAATTAACGGCTAAGCTGCTTATTATCCTCTAGTTGAATCCGCCACAGTCGTCAATTAATCGCTGTGGCAGACCGGATGCAAAAATAACGCACTGATTTCGCTTGCGTTTTGTTTCGAACTTTTATTTATAAAATTTCAGGGATTTTTTCTGAATCTTTTCTCGCGAATCGTGTTACAAACATGTTCGTTTCTATAGTTATTATTGCACGATATTAAACTATTTTTGCTTTTTTACTTATATTGCAAATTATAGAAATTAAATCACTATTCAATTTACCCTCTTTTTAATTCAACAAACAAGAATTCTTCAGAAAACAGTGAAACAAAATCAATAAATAAAAATTTTTGTTTTGAAAAGATTTAACACACATTTAAGTCATCACAGTTTAAATCATCAGGTTCGTTTATAGCTATGAAGAGTGTCAAGAATATCAAGAACAAAAGATTTATCATGTAAAAATAGAAATACTTCAATATGCGAAATAAGACGACACTTTCATTTATAGCACTCTCTCCTGAATAATTGGCACTTGTTTTCAATTTGCGCCAATTATTTTCGCGTTTCTATCGCGTGGTATAACGAGACTGTTAACGTTTGCAAAATATATCCTACGATAACTCGCCCTCCTCAAAAGACGGCAAGATACATCTCGATATAGTTGCAAGATCGTATAGTCGAGTCAATTTTCCAATGACACTTTCGAGAGTTACGTGCTTGTTGAGAACGAGACGTTGAGCGAGAGTGCGCGGATGAAGATGCGGAAGAGGGACGAAAGTAAAAGGTCGAATCGCCCGGGAGAACCGATAACTACACCCCTCGGTAGCGAATCTTTCCCTCGGGAGAGATTCTCGCAAGGAGAGCAAAATCATAAGAAGACTAGGGAACAAAGATGGAGAACATGGAAACGAAAAATAGAGAAAGAAAGACAGAGAGTGAGTGAAAATTTTAAAGAAAAGCACGACAGTGAAAAAGAAAGAAAGAGAGAGAGACAGGGTCAGGAACAAATAAAGCATTGGTACTCTCTCCGAACGAATTGGATTCGCCTGGACTCGAGTCACATCCGATTGTGATAGCAAGTTGAAAGCGAATCGAAAGGGAGGTTGAAAGCAGCATTGCTAGTGGTGATGGTGGAGGATAGCGACGGAGATCGGAGCTTCGAGATGCACCGATTGAATTAAGCAGCCACACCTGTCGACTCCAGATATTTTCATTGGTGGCATGCTAATTGCCAATTAAGCTACACCGATTCAGCCGATCCCGCCTGAATATCCACTTTACATTTACGTCTCTCTTCTACGGAAGCGCGCGCTCAGACTTCCGAAGGGATGTCTACTCAGCACCCCGCGTTTGACTGAAACGGAGACCGCACCAGGAAGCAAGCAAGTCGTCGGAGAACAAGCGCACGAACTTTACGGCAGGCATTGACCTACCGCACATGTTGCATAACAATGTCTTTTTTTCTCTAGGTTAGAGAAATAGAGAGAACGTACAGAAAATTGTATGAATTTAAAAGATATATCACTTTCTTTAGTAAATTAAACATTTACTTTGATACTTTTATGTTTATCATTCTAGAAAGAGATTCCGTTATTTAATTTTAAATTATACTAAATAATAATATTACATTAATATATATTTATTTAAATTTTAAAATTATATACTAAATCATATTTATTTCTCCATTTCTCTAAATTAAAATCTTATAGAATAATAGTAATCTCCGATGTAAGTCGTACCTATCAAAAACTTAATTTATCAAATAATATTTACAATGTCAAAGATAAATAAATTGCATACTGCTAATAAAAACTTATATTGTCTTTTACTATAAAAAAAATTACAAATAAAAAATCTTTACTTCTTATATCTTAAAAAAACTCAAAAAATCTTTTGCATTTTTGCCATATATCTCATAGGAATAAATTATATGGTTATATATGAATGAGATATACGACTTATGAAAACATCTGAATTATAACACTTTTTTTGCAATAATATCTTCCAGAAAAAACCTTGTAGTAATCATTTCACATATCCGTAAACTACGGTTGCGCTACTTTTCATTTGCGCTGCAAATCAACTAAATTGACAATGGTTTTGTTACTAGAAACAATAAAAAGCTGAAATCACAACACAATACTAATATAACTCAAAGGTACATAACACAGTGGTTGCACGCAAATTATTTTTACTTTTTTAATTTTTTTCTGACCTATGTGGAATAAAACCCGGCCAAAATGTCCGAATTACTCTATTTTTCACACATACACAATTCTCGTTTTTTTTTTATTCTTCAAGACATATAATATTTTTCAAAAACTTCCCAGCATCGCAACTGTAAGTTAGGTAATTCTCGTAAAAACGTTACTATATTGATAGTATATTGTTCAAAGTCCTTTCCGCTAGATGCGGCTGTTACGGACGCACAGTGCGAAAATCTCGGCCCGTCGGGAATATTCGATAACGTTATTCGATAATGTGTGTGTATCGTGAAGAGCGCATTACGGCTGGCTTCCTGGAGTATCTGCTAAACTACATTCAAACGGAGCAGAGCCAAGAAACCCGCTCTGCAGGGAATCCCCCATTTATTAATCACGCTGTAATGAATGAAATGCCAAATCGATCGAAATGCGCCGGTGTGTCACAAGTAATTAGGAAAATTGAGTTACTTCAATTAATTACTGTTCTGAATTATATCATATATTGATTATCAGTATATTGATTATAATGATTGTTATTCTATAACGAGTGATGCAATTGAAGGACAAGTCCGATTCATCGCGTATAATATTAGATCACGTTTGTGACTGTAATATACAAAATTCAATTGTAAAATTCATAAGATTACGATAATGCTATATGCGCGATATTGGCTTTATTGACGCATTTCTTAAAATAAAAATATTTATAGGTTTCGTTTTCATTCTATTCACATATCTTAACTTACTTTTTACTACGACGTGATAAAATATACATCTGATGTTTTTTTGTTAAATAGAATATCACGAAGATTGTCGATCACGTTTAGTCTTTTTCCGATCAAATGTTTTGAAATTGTTAAGCAAAGACATTAAAGCTACGATTAAATAAAACAAGTATTTTTTATGCACAATTTTTACCATTTCCGAAGTTCATCTTTTTCTCATCTGAGGAATATTTTAAGAAGATTTAAGTAATAATCGTTCGATCTTCCCTTGATGCGGTTTCCGCGCGAGTACGCTTCAAAGTTCGTCATACTCGCGTTTCAGACTCAAATGGAAATACCTCGGTCACGTCAGACGTTGTGGAACTTTACTAGCCAATGCCGGAGTCGCTCGAATCGTGATAGTTAGGTACGTACGGCCCTGAGGGGCCCCGCATTATCGATAATCTCGAATCGGAGCTGTAACTTTCCCGCGCGCGTTTGGCTCGCGTGCACTTTGGAACATCAGCGTTGTCTCTCCGTGACACGCAGCTCTAATTAATTTCACGTACTTCATTAACAACCTCCGGCCGCAATGCTTAACGACGTTTTGGCGTCTCTGCGTACCGGGAGTTCCGATATTCCCAGAGCAAAATGAAACCCACCGTTGCACTCATCTGATGAGTAGCGTCGTGAAGAATTAATGTGTGTGTGTGTGTGTCTATATACGCGCATAAATCTAATATTGAATTATTTATTGTTCTATCTCATGAATTTGTTCCAATTCCGAATTATCTTTCTCGTATAAAGTGAACGCGAAGCTTTTTTTCTCTGAGTTCTTGCTTTTTCTGTAAGTGGAAAATAAACGAGAATAGAGGATCGGAATTCGCGGTATTTAGAAAGGATTCTTCCCACGTCGGCGAGTCTTAGTTTTTTCGAGCATTTGAGAGAACGAGCGAGGACAAATTTCCGACAGATGTTACCACGGTTGTTTACGGTCTGCCTGTGAAACCTAATATAACCGAAATTAACCATAGCGACGTCAGATCACTTTTTTCTCGTTCTTTTTCTCGTTCCACTTTTCGCTCACTACCTTGCGCCACGAAATTATATCTCGCGCGAGAGTATTTGAAATATCCGAAAGACAGTATACTAATCCGCAAAATTATTATTATACATATTATACATGCGCGCGCGCGCGTGTGTGTGTGTGTGTATATGTATTCATTTGTTCTGAAGTTGATTGAAGCGCTTTATCTCTGCCTTTACACTCGCTTGCACGTCACGTGTGCAGTGACTTTTCGTCATGAGCTTGCAAGTTAGAAGACACATTTTCAAGAGATCAAACCTAACTCGAAGATGGAATATCTAGTTCTTTAACAGAATACATCAATTTGCAATTAAAATTGTTGCGAGCTACAAACTCTACAGTAACATGTGTATCAATTTATTTTAAATATAGTCTTTTTCTCGAGCTCCTCGTATAAGAGCTTTAAACTTTTATATTTCGAACTTAAACATGTAAATAAATAATTTATTTGTGTGTAATTTATAGAATTGCTCTAGAAACCGCGAGGTGTCGTGGTTCTTGAGCGATTTATAAAATATGCGCAACGAAAAAATTATATACTATATAGATATTTTATGATAAGAGAGATAATTTTTAATTGATTTCTCGAATCTTTCTTTTAGGAAGAGAGATCGGAGAATCGAACTGTCAGCACAGTTGAGTTTGAGCCAGGTGTGGAGGATCATGGAAAATCTATCACCTGCCGAGCGGAGAATCCAAACGTGACTGGACTCTACGTCGAGAAGTCCTGGAAGATCGACGTCGTATGTGAGTACACGTTACATTTTTCCTGAACATTCCAATTTCTTGCGAACTGTAAACTCGCTCACGACCGACAGATCGCGGTAAATCGAATACGACGACATGACAAATAGTGCATTACTGGTGTTTATCGACTTCTGAGTTTTTTTCATTCTCTTCTTTTCTCTCTTCTTTCTTCCTCTCTCTTTCTTTTTCTTTCACTATTTTGTTATTCTCATCGCGTATATATATGAGCCGGATAAAAAATCAGAAATTGCTCGACATCTATTTTGGATTCTTCTCTTTATCTTTATTCGGGTCCCCAATTCGATTTTATGAGCTTCTTCGAAATGCGTCCTTTTTTCTGCGTTCACGCGTCGTTCGCTTTTTGTATCCCACGCGCTTTTCTCCCTCCGAACATGCTTTTCACGACGTCAGTAAAAAGATGATCCATGAGATTTCTCATAAATTATAGACAAAAGTTGATGAAATCGTTGGATCGTCGTATAATTTTGGTCAGAACTCAATCTCGATAGTCATAAAAAAAGAATAAATGCGCGAAGAAAGCGGTACAATCGGTGAAATTAAATTATTCTGGAAAATTTGCTACATAAGCACACACTTTTATTATGCTGTTTGTTTCGATATCGAATAATCGCACTTTATTGTTTTCTTCACGGAATGCCTTTTTCTCTTTTATTATGGACAGATACAAGTAAAATCGTTCTGCTCAGAAATGTACATCAAGCGAGACATCACGCACATATTCACACGTCGCATTTACTGAGCATCCGTGAAATTTATCACACGACTATATTCATCTGACACCATAAACTTTATGTTCGACTTGTTCAGAGTTATAGCACGCTTCTCTGCGCATATTTAAACTAGACGAGACATCGACGGTGAAAGAGACGCGGACAGTATCGCGCGTTACTGACAGCCTCTCCTCCAAACAAATTGTCGTCAGAAATATCGTCCTGAGAATAACGCGATTGAGAACACAACACTGTTTACGTATTTTTGTTGAGTAAATATCATTATTTATATAATTTGTGATTATAATTATTAACATAATTTATTACAAAACTTGATAAAATAGATATCATTGTTTTATTTAATAAATTCAATTAAATAAGCTCAATTAACTTACTTTATATACTACTTAATCAAATCTAATCTAACCTACATTAATATCTTTTAAATCTGAATTAAAGTAATATAATTATAGTAAATATATTAATTTATATTTTAATGTTTTCTCAGCTTTAAAATCGTTAAAAATTGCTAAGTTTTTCTTAGAAAAAAGTGAGTCAGTATTAGCAGTACAATAAATAAAACTTGTCCTTTGCGAGAAACAGAGTTGCGCGATATCATGATTTAAATTTATATTCATGAACGTCAACACACAGAGTAGCTGCAAAATAAAGCACAGGTAAGCTTTGAGGGAATGAAAACGATTCTTATGGTGCGCGAGGCGTCGTATATCACCGTATGTTCATTTTAATTGTATAATACGTATAAATAACGGCGAAAAAGTGCGCCGTGAGCGGCGAGGATCGCGTATACTCCTCGCTCAGATATTTTTTCAATTTTGTAGGAGCGCGCGCGTTACTTCGGCAGCGATAAATTTCTCGATTCCGTACGGTTTATCGTTCGTTCTCATCTGTCCGGTTGCGTCCGTTGCACCTGCACATCTGGCAAAAATATAGCGGCGGTGCGGGAAAATGGGGAAAATACGTAAGAAGGATTCGCGAAACGAGAAAAACTGCAGAATACGGGAAATGACGTCATGTCACGTATTCGATTACGCCGTTTTACAGTACGACGCGAAAATTACGCTGCCTCTGTAGGTGTCGGTAATCTTCGCTGTCACTGTCACTGTCGTTCTCGACAGCGTACAATCGACTATATCAACGCGAATAAAATTATGAGAAATAAAAGTTTTTGGCAGTTTCGGACTCTTTTTCATATTAACAAACATTGACATTAGCGCTGTAATTTAATACAAACAGTCGGACTGTTAAATAATAAATCACTACTACAGGATTGTAAAGCTAAAAAAAGACTGACGCGACCGAAGCTAGTTAATACTACCTAGCGGAAGTACGTGTCCCAGGAAAGAAGAAAAGAGCGGGGGACGGAAGACGAGCAATTTATTACGATGAACGATAAAGTACTGCGAGATGATGCGGTAAGCTACGGAAAAAAGGACCGAGGGGGAGATCGGGAAGGATTGTATATGATTAAACTAATATACACGGCAAATGCCGGATATGAGGAGCAAATAAAAGACGATTGTTGAGAGCTATTTATTGCCAAGTTATGAAAACATCCGCAAGTTATCGCGCGCTGACATTATTGAGTGTTGCACCGGTGAGAAAAATATTGAAAATAATAGTGACTGTGTATGTGTGTGTGAAAATTGTGGCATAGATATAATACAGCGACAGAGATCGAAACATGGTCTTTCTAGTTCAGTTACAAAAACAATTTAAATAAAATGTTTTATTTGTCATAAAACCAAAAATTGGAAAATTATTCAGAAAATTTATTCTAATGCAAAAGAAAAACGAACAAAGAAAGATCGATAAGAAAACATGCATAAGCTTGAGATATTCTTTTATTAATATATAATATAGAAAAATGATTTTATATATTACGCTTACAGATCCACCGATAGTATCATTAAACCTCGGATCAACTTTAAGCCCAGAAGACATTAAAGAAGGGGATGACGTGTACTTCGAGTGCCATATTAGAGCCAATCCTCCTTGGTCTAAGCTTGTCTGGATACACGACGTAAGTATACTTAAATATACGATCAAATTCTTCTTACGATGATGCGATATTTTCAAAAGCCTATATACGATCAAATGTATACTTTTACGGAAAAAATATTCGCGCACACCAAAGAATTTATCGATATGCATAACGTTTTCTGTCTTTATTTAATGCCTCGTAAATCGAACATTGAACAAAATTTCAAAAATCCTTTTATTTGCATAATACTTAGATATAAGTCACATAGTGAGAAATCGATCGAGAGTGCAAATTTTTCTCGTAAATTTTATTTATCCGCTTACACAAAACTCACAAATACATAAAATCAATTTTATTCTTTATTCTTCTCGGTATTATTGTACATTCGAATTGCATTAACGGTATCTTATACAATTTTATTTTTTTTATTGAAATTGCTGTTACAAGTCGAAGGTTAAACGTTTTTTTTTTTTAAAGATGCGTATTTTATGGATCGTATCGGGACACAGATTGTGAACATATATTTTACGTCCGTTATATCGTGCGTATCGGAAAAACAAGAAGAAACAAAAGCGCTCAGCGAGCATAAAACAGGCATCAAAGCGTGGTTAATGTTAGTCAGCCTCGGCTCATACGAGATAGTTGCCTCGGGAGACTACCGCTTGCCTGCTTATTCTAGACAGCGCTACTTGAATTTCGAAACGCCACCGCCGCCGCCGTCGTCGCCGCACATTGTGTATACACTCCTAGCGCGCGCTGCAATTGCAGCAGAGTCGGAAGTTAAAGGAACGTTCCCAAGGTGTATTCGGGACTATCAACGACAAACTTTAGCCTGTGTATCGGTAGCAGCGGACGCGCACTTCCTCTGAATTCTAATCGTTCCGATCAACCGGGATGCTGCGACCTCAGAATCGTGCACGTGATACGCGATTACGAATTGTATTCTGTGTGCATTACTTTGCACTTTTGAGATCTTGTAACAATTTGCGTAACAATCTTTTAAAAAAGTAAACACGATTATTTAGCCTTTGATTTGAAAACATTTAGTGCAATAAATTATATTTATTAACTTGAATCTCTTTCTTCTTTATATAGCTAATAAGTTTCGTAAATGTACTCGCTTTAGTTAATATAATTCTATAATCTTGAATGGAAGTCAATTTCATTTCTTGAAATTTCCGTGATACAGCGCGCAACTCTTTAGATTTTAATACAGTAATCCAACGGTACCCTCTATAGCACCTGACAGAAGATTGCGGGTAGCTACATACACGCAGTAATTATATTACCATCGGCTACGCTAGCCAGGAATCCCATAGGAGCGCAGCGATGCATTAGCTTTTCTCTGGTCTTTTCCGGGATCAGCCCGGCCTCATATCCCTTCCGTGTTCCGTCGCTCACTTTAACTCAGCTCATCCCCATTCACCGCTCTCCTTCTCTTCTCCCCGCTTCTTCGCCTCTCGTCGTCTTTTCGTTTCGTCGCGCGACGATCTTTCGCCGGATATACATCGCGAAGGGCTGCAGGAAACGGGCTAACGGCGAGCAGCAGCTGTGCTACCGCGTAAGAGATTTCCCTCGAAATTGCATCTTAAAAATATGATCCGACTTCATTCCGGAGAAAGAGAGAGAGAGAGAGAGAGGAGGAAAGACAGCCAACCGACTATCGCGCAGTGTCACAACTCGTCTCATCTTTCACGTACACATTCGCGATTTTCTTTCCTTTGCTCGCGGATTATCTTCTGGTCGCTCCGCTTACAGGCGAAGCAATTCGCTTCCTTTCCGCGCTAAGCTCCCTTCTATTCTTTGTATGTGCCGTTAAACGATAGATGGATTACCCGAGCGAACTCGATTCGCGCCATTACCGTAAAACTCGATCTTAAAACTACCCGCGCGCAGCCACCGCGGTCCAACTTTCGCGTGATTATCGAAGTTCCGTAACGGAAGTCGAGTACGTTGAGTACTTCTTTCAGAAGCGTTTGGACGTTTAAGTAGAAATGAACGTTGGGAGACGATTTGTTGGCATAATACGCTGCTGGTGACTCGAAAAAAAGAGATCGTTTTTTTACTTCTTCAAAATCACAATTAGATGTTCTTAAATAATACTTATCTGTAAATATATTTGTTTCTCAAATTCGGAATACAAACCAATGTCTCTTCATTACGCAGAGTGCGCCTGAACGCGTGATAGTGAACAAATACTATAACGAAAAAAACGTTTATGTTGAGTTTCGCTTCATTTCCATTGGCTTCTCGTTATTCATCGATTTCCGATTTTTAAACGCACGAGTCTTTTAAGCGTGTCATTGGGATGGATTTTCACGTTCGCGCCGAGTACACCAGAAAACGTTTCATTCGTCAGCTCTTTCGCTCATCCGGAAAAGTTTGCCTAGGAATTAGAAGGGCCGTTGGCACGTTCTATCTGTCAATCAATCCTGCGCTTGGCAATCGAACCGAGATCTGGCAGCGGTGCGGGTCTTAGAAAAGCGTTTCGGATCGCCCTAGCGGCAGTAAGCTTTTGAGTAGCGATCGTAAAAGAGGGAGAGAAAGAATCATGAACGTGAGTCGGACGGTGAGTGGGTGGGTAGACGGGATGAGAGAGTGAAAAGGAAATGACATTGTGAGAGAAGGTAACCAAAAGAGAGAAAGTGAAAAAGAAATCATCAGGAATAACGGGAAACGAGGAAGAAGATAAAGAAAGAAGAAATCGAGAAGGCGAAAAAAGAAATGTGGAATAGCCAACATAATGGAGTGCAGTGATTAAGTCGGTTCTATCATTCACGGGGACAATAGAGAAGTTCTGTACTTATACCTGCAGCTTCGACGAGCCAATCGGCCAGTTTAGATGAAGAGGGGATCCTGAAAAGATTTTTCCCTCAACTCTTCATCTTTTCTCGCGAAGTGGATTGACCGAGCACAGACTGCCGTAAGGATTCCATTAATACCGTTGTCCTCGCGCGGAACACGCAGAAAGATTGAAAATGTATCTCGAGCTTATCCGAATCTCGCTTTACGCGCACCCTTTTGCGCGACCTTCGGTTCAGATAAAAGATAGTTTGGCGCTCGAATCTATCGTAAGAAATTACTTTTAGAATTAGAAAATTGCAGCGGCTGCAACAGCGACTCCCGAAAGTTTTGTTAAGCAAAATGTTAAGACGTTCTCGAATTATATAATGCATTGTTTGAAATCATCACTTTTTAACCATTTTAAGCTCAAAGTAAAAAATCAATTTTAGTAGTTCGCGAATGACGTAATATCGATCAAACTCGAAATTCTCTCGTCGCTATTTGATTTATGTTACTAATATTGGTTTTTATACATATCGATTTGATTGCGTTTCCAAAAATAACGGCTTTCTTACTGCGAATCGACCGAATGCATTTCCTTTCTCACGCGAGATTCCGAACCCGAGTTCGGCGGAATCTTAATGCGGTGCGAAGTTAAAAGGTACATGTACGTGTGTATACTTGCGTATGTATGTATGTGTGTGTATATGTGTACGCGCGTTGGTCGGTTACGAGGAAGTGAATGCTAGCGCTGAATTCGGTGAGCTGTACATCAATCAATTTCACTACCATCGCGATCAAGGCGTGTCGAAATTCCCGCTAAAAGCGACTTCTCAGGAAGACGGACACGCGGCGGGGCAAAGAGTGACACGGTGAGCGCGAATTCGTTCCGTAAGATTTTGATCTTGCAATTTTTCGTTAAGAGATAAGACAAGCAAGGAAATCGCGCGCGATAACCGATCGCGCAGTCCTCTAACAGTCTTCGCCTGGTACTTGGAAAAAGAGCTATCCGATGGACGGTAACTTTTCGAATAGTTGTTCGGAACTACTTTTTCTCCGGTCGTATTCGAGACGCGTTCCACTTTGTTCCAGATACATCGACCATATCATTTCTTTCTGGACACTCTCGGTACCAGAGTCTCCATTTTTGGGATGTAATAATAGCTTGATACAGTTGTTTATCCAACAGTTGTCTAAGTCTGCTCGGAATCAGTCAAAAATAGTGTTGCTCGAGTCTTGCACAAGAATATTCTATGTTTCTAAGGTTGGAATGTGTTTTATGTGGAACAGTTCGCGCAAACATGATGCACTACTTCGAAATATCATAGCTTGTGCAACATTCGGAGGCAAAATGTGTGTATTTATAGATATTTCTCTCGAGTTTTTCTTTTGCAGCTACAAATATGTCACAATTTATTTAAACAGAAAGCCATTAAAGTATAAACGAGCAATACAAAGACCTCACATGGCGAGTATAATGATCGACGGAAAAAAATTTACAACAAATATAAAGTACTTATACCAAAATATAAAAGTTGACATACATACGCACGCGCGCGTTTGTAAAGAATATAAATTTTACTTCACGTACTAAAATGTGTGGTTTACTTGAAAAAATAATATAACTGTTAAATATATTAGTCTGATCTGTTTAATTTTTAGAGCGCCGAAAAAACCATTGTAATAATTCAAACAACTATTTAACTATCTTTTGAATTATTTATATATATACAATAGAATTCCAAGAATTTCGCGCACGTAGAATCGATTCTTTATAGAATTCGTTATTTTATTTTTTCCCTTCGAGTTAACGACTGGGAGCAAGAGACGAAAGTTATGTTTCTCTTTTTCTTATTGTTAGATTCCTAGAGTAGAAACAGACGCGCACTCTACAAGTTGCGCAATCACTCAAAAATATAGAGAAATCATCAATAGTAGAGGAAACTATTGGTCTTTTTCATATAAAAGAGAAGTCAATATGTATATATATTCGTTTTGGATATTAACTATGCAAGATTTCAAAAAAAATGACTGCTCTAAAAGTTAAATAGTATTCTTCCTTTATTTTATAAAAGTCTCTCATGTACTCAAAGAGAGAGAGAACTCTTAATTTTAAGCTTCATATTTTGATAACGGTCTCGAAAAAACTATATACGTTTCGATGAAAAACCATAACCGTCTCGTGTGGAAAATATTTCGCGAAAGCTAGTCGAAAAACAGTACGAAGCGCGCAACGCCGTAATTGATCGACTCTG